TTTTTTTTTTTTTTTTTTTTTTTTTTTTTTTTTTCCCGCTTCACACCATTGCGCCTGTACAGTACTTGTCCCAATCGCTAGCACAAACGATTGATAACGAATTGATGAGCGATGACGTTGGTTACACCACCGAGCAGTTAATGGAGTTAGCAGGACTTTCCATTGCGCAAATAATATGTAAGGAATACACTTTGAATAAATTTAAAAAAATTCTTATATTTTGTGGACCTGGTAATAATGGGGGCGATGGCTTAGTTGCTGCTCGGCATTTGAAGCAATTTGGTTACGACATCACAGTGGCTTATCCCAAGGAGAATAAGAAGGTTCTGTTTCAGGTGAGTGCGTTACTCCGGTGGTACCTATGCGGCGTGTCTTTTTTATCACCAGCGGGAATAGCGTAGCGCCTGTCTACATACTACTCTACCCCTCCCACTACGGCACGATTACTTTCCCTTCCCACGCAGAGGTTACTGAATCTGCTCCAGCACTACCACGTGCCGGTTTTGAAGTCCTCAACAGGTGCAGGTGCGACGAGGGGGCATGTACATAATCTCACAATCACACAATCACATAATCATATAACTACGTGCACGTGTGTGCTTACGTGTGTGTATATATTTGTACGCGCGTGAGAGGAGCCCGCACGCACTACCAAATCGGTTGTGAAAATTCCGGGTCATGATAACGAATTCATAAATGGCGTTTCGTTCCATGGGCAGACGTGAAGATGTACGACTTAGTCGTGGATGCCATATTCGGCTTTAGCTTCAGAGGAGAACCTCGGAGCCCCTTCGACCAGATAATACATGTAGGGGCTCGTTCCACATGTGGCATTCCGTATATGTCCCTTTCTCCCTGTCTCCCTATCTAATGTGCCCTGCTATGCTCCCTTCACTGTGTGTACCTTTGCGGCGCAAAAAGAAAACGAACTTTTCCCCCACACTTCCCCCCCCCCGCAGATCATTAACCAGAGCAACAAGCCCGTCGTGTCGGTGGACGTACCATCGGGCATAAACATAGACGGGGGTGAGAAAATGGAGGAATTCACAAAAATGGAAAAACAAACGAGCACTCACATGTGTTTAATGAAGTTAAACAAATATACATATGTTTTTATATATAATTATTTATTTATTTTTTTTTATAAATTAGGAAATGCGCCAAACGCGGTGTCTGTCAACTCCGAAATGAACATATCGTTGATGCTTCCCAAGGAGGGGGTTCGTCATTACGGGAAGAAGCATTACTTGGGGGGAAGATTCATACCGAAGTAAATTTTTTTTTTTTTTTTTTTTTTTTCTCCACTAAGTGTATCCTAGTTGGGGTTCACTGATGTGACGTGGGTTTACAATTTCATCTTGTACGTCGTGTTGATATGGTGTAATAAAGTGTGATATGAATATGGTATTTTTTTTTTTTTTTCCTTTTTTGCGCCAGTTCGATCGTGGACAAGTACAATTTGAAGATTCCTCAATTTGCAGGTTAACACACAGCACTTGCGAACTGATCATTTCATTTTCCCATTTGTCCAACATGACAAGAAAAAAAAAAAAAAAAAAAAAAAAAAAAAAAAAAAAACGATATACTTTTTTTTTTTTTTTTTTTTGACACTTTG